AAACCGAGCAGGAGAGCAGACTGACGGGAAAGTAAAGCAGAGAGCAGTGGCTGTGAATAGATGATGACTTTCAGTATTATCAAAGCTTACACACGTAAACCATTCTGCCACATTAATGATACCGAGCTTGTGTTTTCCCTTCTAACACACAATCTGACACCCGGTGCAACAGCGGTTGAAGTTCAGGTGCTTTCAGTCTCATGGAGACGGTGTTCTGATGTCAACAGCAGGATGTGGCGTTTACCTATGTTCAAGTTCTGCAGTTGCATTTTGTTTGTATACTGAGCCTTAGTCCTGTCTGGTTCAACTGCTTTTCGCAGTTATGACTTTTTGTAAATAACAGTATTGACAACAATAATGGTATTCCAGTTTAAAGGAAAATTTTAGGTTGTATCAACAGAGACATCACTATTTAATTCTGAGGAGAGAGTAGGTCTTGAAAAAAGTTTAGGCCTAAATCCATTTCTTCAGACCATTATTTTAGTTCAGTCTCATTGTGCCAAACCTGTATGATGTTTAGCCATTTTGACCTCTGGGCCACTACAACAGAGCAGTAGTGCTGGTTATTCATTAAGCAGCTAAGTGACATTGTCAGACTCCAGCATGTCAAATAAAGATTTGCTGATTATCTTTCACTGTAAATCATTTTCATTAATATTTCTGTGCTTTGTATATTTTATGGAAATCGGGGCTGGACAATGGCAATGCATTGATGACCTGTTTTGACCACCAAGTCCATTGTAAGAACCTAAACCCATTTGATTTTAGGTTATCAACATGTATTGCATTATTAATAATATGACAATGTGATTAACACCATGTTGTTTGTTTATAAACAGACTGACAGAGTATCTAACGAGCCATGCAAAATGTACTGCTGTCTCATAGCTGGCAAGATGAAGGAGATCAAATTTAACTAGAAAGGAGGAGGAAGATATGCATATGAATTCAATTAATCTTAATTTTTGTTTAAGCACCATGTATACAATGTCTGTATTGACAGATTGAGTTATTTTAGGATGCACAGATGCCCTGTGACATAACGGCTAAGAGACTGTTGTTAAAACCAGGTGGCTTTCTCATAGCAAATGTAATGGTTGCAGCTTGTAAAATATACAGATGTGAGCTCTCTCTTTTAGTTTGTTGACAAAGTATTATCTGGTAGTGATAGGCAAAGCCACAGGGGTCAACTAAAAAGTGTGTATAATGTATTAAGCTCAGTGTGCTCCTTCCTGATGGCCAAGTGATGTTTGCTAGCTGTCTGCAAAATGTATTTTCTAGAAACAGCAGATGAATTAATGGGTGGTGTTTTCTGTCTGGTATCTGCTGACACTCATATAGCTGTGAAAAAAAGACATATCTTGAAATATGCATTATTATGAGACTGAGTATCATTGTAAGTTCCCTCTTGTAGTTTGCTTTATAATATCAATCTAATTACCTTAAACATTAAAAAGTATAGCTTGACCTCTTTCGTCATTTATTATCAACAGCGGCTGAAATATCTGCAATTATGTGTCTCCTCATTGCGTCCTGTCCAGAATTGTGAATTAAAGGTTAACTACCTGGTCTGCCAACACAGCTGAATTAGGTGAAAGTCTGTGGCAAACTGAAATCTACCAGTCAGTAGTGCAAAACAATGACAGACTCTTTCACCACTCCCATGGGAACAAGCCATTTCCCCCAAGGGATAGTACAGTTAATCTAACCTAATCAAAACATTCACACGTACAGGGAAACACTCTGATGATGGCTACTGAGTTTAGCAGCAAAGGCAAATTTCTCAAATAATATTGTTTTCAAATCTTAGAACGTATATTGATATATAATTGGTTTGGTAAATTAGTATTCCAGATTTGTTCCTCTCTTTAGATTTTGAAACTCTGGCTGCACACTGCTCTTGCAGTGTATTGCTCTTTGAAAGGGTGAACTTGCATGATTATGCTATGATATTATCACTACGCCAGTGGTTTAAAATGGTGAGAGGTGATACCCAGCCCTCAATAAATTACCAATATATATTGTAACTGTAATATACCCTGTGATTCCCAAACATTTTCTTGCAATCAGTTTTAAAAGCAATGATTCATTTACAAGCAGAAGAGTTCTCGCTTCATGCTGCTTCGCCTCCCAGGAGCCCCCAGAGGAACAGTATGAACTCATGTTTGGCCGACAGAGAGACAAGGCACTCAGCATGTGGAGGCGAGGGGAAGGGGTTGTGTAGTGTTCATCATGGAGACATCCAACACACAGACAGACCTCATACCTGGCAGAGCAGAGAGTCAGCAGTGCCACAGCCAAACCACATATCCAGCTGATTCTCAAGACCGTCCGCATGCTACACAACTAGAATGACTCCACTAGTGACTTTTAGGTACGTTAAGAAGCCAGTTTGATGCTGAATGACAACAAATGAAGCAAAATGTCATAATCAGTTTCAGAGATGCTGAATGTCAAAACTCTCAAGTTTCAAATTTGGCTGGCCTTAAAGGGAAAGCTATGAACATTTAAATAAAACATTTTTTCTACTGGAAGAAGAGGAAGGGCAGAGGGCTTGTTGCCTGTGTGATCCTCGGGCTCTGTGGGAGCGAGTACAGTGGAAAATAGTCCCCACTGTTAATCCATGGCAGGCTAATTACAGCTCTGATCCCCTAGGCGTGTGCATCACCATAGGTGGGAGAGAGGCAACAAACTCTCTGGCTCAATGCAGTTAGTGGTTAGGTTTGTTTTGGTTCGGAGATGTCTTAATCAGCTCACAGCTGCAGCAGATGTTTGACCAACAAATGTCAATGTTATACATTGCTAGTCAGCTCAGATACTGGCATCAGAGTTTACAAGAGTTGACCTCTGCCTCTCATGAAACTCCTTTGAAACTATTAAGCAAGGTAACTGTATTTTATAGCACTTATCCCATTAACAAATATATATATTGCTCCATTCACCAACTCACAAAATTATCCGAAACATTTCCAAGCCTTGTGTCCTTCTTCATAAAAGAAATTCGGCCTGATAAGCTACCATTTGTTGCACTGAGCAATAAAGGAAACTAAACTCCTGCAGAAAGAGACACAGATTAAGTGGGTAAATGGAGTTTCTGTCTAAAATAGACCACAGCTCTGATGATAGCTTAGTCCCAAAACACACAGTGGTAGAGAGCACAGGGGAGGAGGAGATGATTGAGGATGAGCAGCAGATGGCATGGAATTATCTGGATCTTCAGCTGTACATCTTAGCCCATGATGTCATTATTTGAGTTTAATAATCATCCCAATACTACAATAACAATACAAGACTCCAGGAATCTCCTGCTGCATTTTTCAAATGTGAAAGGCAAACTAGGGAAAATGTCCAGACCCAATATATGGGATATTTTCTGGAGTTCATGTCCAAAAACATCTTTAAAGATGTTGCTGTTGTAAGGACTGTAGGTTGCTGGCCACTTTGAGCAATGAATAGCAGATGATAAATCGATTGATTGATTAATTGATTGGATCGATAAATTGATAATGAAATAAAAGGTTAATTGAAGCTCTAGTCTAGAGTAACTTACTGATTTGTACAAGCAGAGTTCATTTAAAAGTGCAAGGGCAAGATATCTCTACTTCCTCGCAAAAATAAATATCCTGGATATAAACACAGCCAGGGGGGGCAAAGAGTGAGACCTTGTATTTAGCCAAATAGTGCAGGTATAAAAGGCACCATTCTAGGAAGTAGCTGCCCGACTGAAATGTCATTGTTTGAAAACACCAGGCTCCTGAGTACAGAGAACAGCACAAGTTATTTGATTAAACCCAACATAACTTGCACATATTCTGCATAACCATCAAATAAGGTGGTTATTTAAATCACTATACCACAGATGCAAACTCACAGACGTGGTGTTATGATGATTATTTACTAGAAAACTAAAAGAAAAGGTCAATGACCTAGGTGACAGACAAGCTCACTTTGTTATACAAGACTAAATTAATGATAAACCAACCCTGAAAGGCTCAGTGTGTAAGGTTAAGGTGAAAGGGATCTATCGGCTGAAAGTGAATATAAAATAATAATAAGAGTGATGTATTTTTCATCTAAACTGTAAGAATTGTTGTTTTCTTTACCCTAGAATTGACCCTTTATATTTAAATACTTCATATTTACATCTGGAGTGGGTGTTCTTTACAGAGGCTGCCATTTTTGTTTTACATTGGTCCAGACTGGTCAAACTAAATACCTTTTGAGTTTTTATGAACCGAAGGCTACCACAGGTTCTCATGCTTGGAAGGGGAGGGTGAGGTGAGAGGTATTCTGCTGCAATATGAAACTTTACCATTAGATATTATTAAATTCTACACACTCCACCTTTAAATCTTCACTTACATGACATAAACATTAGCTTTTCTTGTGTTACAAAAAAAAGTTATAAAAGAAACCTGACTGCAAGGGTGCACACTGTACATTTCCATCCATCGGTCTGAAAGTAACATGCTTTTTATCGAGACAAGCTGCAGCGGTTTTGTTGAGTTCTCTTACAACGTGTCGCTGTGTGAATATTGTGTGTTTTCAGGGTGAAATGTGTGGAGGCTCAGTCAAACCACAGCTAACGTGTAGTCTGGACGTGTGTGCGCAGCTCCGTTAGCCGGTTAGTTCCCCGCTAGCTAACGTCTGCGAGCGCACTGCCACGAAGCATCAACCTGGACGTCAACGCTAGCCACCTTTAGCTCGGCTCGCATGCCGCTAGCGTGTCCGCGGCGGGTGAACACCCCCCTCGGTTTCCCACGGGTCGTGACTAGGCGACTAGGACGACTCACCCCACCGGAGCCGAGGCGCCTGCCGTGCGGCTCCGGAGGACGTTAAAACGCCCGTGTGGGCGCGCTGAGCTGCCCGCTGGAGCCTCCTCGCCGCGGGGTTTACGTTCACATCAACACAACAGTTTCTGATGATGTTCCAACTCAGCAGCAGCCAGCGAGCACTGCGACTACAGGAGGGCTTTGGCCGGTTACGAATAAAACACTCACCCGGACCGAGGCTGGTGATGCTGGTCTCCCGGTGAGTGTGTCAGAGGGAAGCGGGGGTGGCGTTCGTCCAGAGCGGTCACCCAGGTCGAGTCTCTCCCCTCCAGTCGCTCCCTCTCTCTCTCCGTGTATGATCCCCCACACTGCAACGCTGCTGCTGAGCCACAGAGCCACGCGATTGGTCAGACCGAGCGGAAGTGATGGCACTGCTGCGATACGCAGCAGGCAAGGGGGAGCAGCCGTGATGCATTCACCGCTATCGGAAAACACAGCATCTCAGTATGAGCGCACCTATACGTCAAATAACAAACTGTGCAGATTAGATTGGATCAAACTTTATTGTCAGAATCTCTTCTGAAACGTGTCTTGCATCCACAGGACGTCCATTGCCTCTTGTTGATGAATACAGTTGCATTGCTCTGTACCTAATGATTTTCATTATCAGTGAACCTGATGATTATTCATTCAATAAATAATTCATGACATGTTTTTTCAAATGGTGAAAAGTTTAATTTATAGTTGCCTAGTCAAAGTCCGAAGTGATGTCTCTAATTTGAGCTTTTGTCTGACCAGCTATCATCAAACACCCCAAAGGTATTTAAAGTGCATATGACAAAGAAAAGCAGCAAATCGTTGAGAAGCTGAAACCAGAGTTTGTGGTTAATCAATTCTCAAGATACTGATCATTATATTTGTCCATTGACAAATCAATTAATCTATGCATTGCTAACGGTGATGCTTTAAGGCACCCTTTCGGGAGACTCCCTGTAAATAATGGCTTTATTGATTGTTTGAATCTTTGCTAATTGCTGCATAGATCAACAATGAAATAATAATATATAATAATAATAAATGTTGCTGGCTGGGAAAAATGTCGTTGGTTGGTGTTTCCCCCTTTTATAACTGATAATCAAATGTTTTGAGCCATTTGAAATCTTACTGGATTTCTCTAATAAACATTTTACACAAGGTGAGAATCCACCGAATCTGCAGTTGAAGTTGTCAACATGGAATTGGACGCAGATCATTACTTTCACCACTGGGTAAGAATAGTGCTTTATAAATAAAATCTCCTTGCCATGGGTTGTGCCTTTAAGTTTAATTCTATTGCTGACGCTCAGTAACTTTCACTTTCACTTTGGATGGCGAGGCTAAGTTGAGGCGTCTTCAACAACTGAAAGGAATCAAGGTAATAACCGAACAAATACGCTGTAACCAAGACTCGTTTCCAATGTATGTACGTAAACGATTTTCAGTAACTCGGTGTGAACGACTCGAGCCTTTTTTTTTTAGTCTGAAAGAGGAATTTCCCTTAAGGGATTTTTTTGTCGTGCGTCATCAGCTGCTGTGAACCTTCCTCCCTTATCGAAGTCTCGTCCTTGTCGGTTGAGTCGCTGTAAGGTACGTTTCATTCATTTTATATTGTGATGTATATTTTCTTTATAGTTTGATCTATTCCAGGTCGTTAATTACACTCTTTTTTTGATATTTAACGAACGGTCCTCAATGTCGTTTCAGTGCAGAACATAATCGCTCCTCCTCCTCCACCAAAGTCCATGGCTGTTACAGATCAACGCGAGCTCCAGGTCATTAGTCAGATAGCGGAGGCCCTCAGCAGCAGTGAGCGCAGAAGCCTCTTCTACTTGTGTGAAAGCCCGCAAACTGATGACAGCACGGCTTGTGCGAAGGAGATGCTGAAAAACAAAGTTATATGCCAAGACGGAGGTCAGTTGTTTCTGGCAGAGCTCTTGTCCCAGCTGAGACGTTTTGACATCCTGAGGAGGGTGTGTAGGATCAGCAAAGAGGAGGTGGAGAGTATTCCGAAATGTCAGCAGGTTCTGCCGAGATTCAGGTGAGGTATGTTTTATGATATATCTCTCTACTATTATAATTATTTATTAGTATTATAGGTATTTATCCAAGCACTGTGGTCCTTCATTAAAACACATACTTTTGCCTGTGCCTCCAGGGAAACTCAAAAATACCTGTATGTTTGATTATACTTTTTTCACTTAAATTTTGTATTTTCATATATTTGTTGACCAGTTCCAAAGCCTTTTACTTTTACTTCACCTCCGTAAAAATGTTTTCTTGCCCTTCATGTGTGTTTGAAACTACTGGATGTATCTATCCATCTATCCATCTATCTTCATCTAATCATTGTTTCACTCTCTGCAGAGTATTGATGGCTCATATAAGTGAGGATTTGGCCCATGAAGATCTGGACAATGTGAAATTCTTGATGGGCAGCATGTTGCCTCGCGAGACCATGGAAAAAGCAAAGGTAAAGAAAATGAGTGAACTCTGGTTTTGTTTTCACTCACTGCATTCTTCTGTGTGTGTGGGAGGGGGAGCTTTGGTGTCATCACTTGACACAAAAAAAGTCCCCTTCTGTTTTTTTGATGCCCCCCTCTCTCTTCTCCCTGACAGAATTTCCTGGATGTGATCATTGAACTTGAGAAGCAGGATCAAGTTTCACCTGAAAGAGTCGACATTGTGGAGAAATGTTTGATAAACATCGGCAGGGTTGACCTCGCCAAAAAAGTGACAAAGTACAAGATGTCAGGTGAGAACGTTTTACTGATACTTTTTAATAATGACTGGCTAAGATGTTTAGAGAGCTTACGAAAAGAAGGAAGCATACTTTGACAGGATGTGAAAAGGGGAACTTAAAATTCATCCATGACGCATGATAATACCACATCCATAGATATAGACCATAGACTGTATGTAAAGATGGATGACACGTCTCCACTTGCTCTCCAGAAACGAAGCCAAAATATCTGGGATACGAAGATTTGGAGCCAGTTCGGAGTCTGTGCAGTTACGATTGGGGGAAATGGAGCCGCGATATCAAAGTCTCGACGATACACACGCTCGATCAATTGCGAGTCAGTCTCAGCTGTCAATCATAAAGTTGCACCCCATTTTTATGGCATTAAGGAACAAAATGAAACCAAACTTACCAGAAAAGTTAGTACTTGGACATACATCAGTTATAATGTTCAAGAACCACAAATCTGCGTCCCACACGAGGGATAATACCTGTCGGTTTCACAGTCCGCTCATTCAGCACAGCTTTTTGCTCGGAGCAAATTGCTTTAATCCCACAAAAAACCTCACGGACGCCATTTGTTCATACAACCCAGCAGCACATACTGACGAAGGCTAGATAGAAATTAGAGCAGAAAAGTAATGACAATGTACTTAGAATTATATTTTATTACAAATGTTAACTAAGTTTCTGTCTACGTTCAGCAGTGGGAGCACCTGAAGAGCGGTCATCGCAACAGGAACAGTGCAGAGCTCCTGTGAGTATGACACTGTAAAAAAATTACTAGTTTTTTTATGATTTATTATCCTCTCATAAAACTTATACTTCTGAAAATCATCTTCTGTTTAGTGTACACACGTCACTCCTCCTAGTTCCCATTCTCTACAACAAACAAGACAAGGACAGTCCCTCCAAGCTGGTAAGATTGTCTGCAAATTACAGCAACTTCAAAGACATGTATTTCCCAGAGATATTCAAAATACCATGTTAAACCAATAGAGGGTAATGAAAATGATTATTTCACATGGGGTTTACCAGAGCTAAGCAGTAAAGACACTTGGAAACAACCCAGGTCACTCATTGTGTTTGACTTTTATATCATCATCTTTCTGTCATTTGACACAGAAAACACACCAGCACCCGTATACATTCAGCAGAGCAGTCAGGTAAGGATTGCTCTCTTTACAGGAGCATATGTTTTACAGTGTGTTTAATTAGATAAGTGCCTGAGTGAAAGTGATTGCTCCTTTGCATTTCAGAGTCTACTGGATCGCTACAAATTCAACAGTAATCCCAGAGGAGTCTGTGTTATCATAGACTGCGTGGGTAATGATGGAGGTGAGATTTAAAAAAAACAGTTTGAGCCCACAGGGAAGGTGTGGAGGAAGTGTTCAGATCATTTACCTAAGTAAAGTTTGTTTAAAAAAAAAAAAATGTCCTGCACGTAAAGTCCTACTTAAATAAAAATACAAGAGAATCATCAGCAAAAAATGGTAATTGAATGGGCCTTGACTGGCATATTATTTATATATGATGTTATTAGATTGTTAATATTATTGCATCAACATGTAAGCAAAGTTGAGGTGGAAACTAGACAGCTATAAATACTCAGTCCCTTAAATCTAAAGGCTTGATAGTTATGATGCGGGATAGTTTGAACAATAGATGATTCAAATTATTTTGGCCACATCTATATTTACATTAAACTATATGAGAAGTGTAGAGGGGAAATTACTTTTTGGTACTGCTGTTAATTACTCATAGACATCTGAAACACGGCAAGGGGGCCGTCAGTAATTGTAATAACAGATGTCAGAAGTACAAAATGGCAGAAATTGAAAGATTCAAGTAGGATGCATGTCAAATGTGTACCTGAGTACAATACTTCAGTAAAAAAGCATTAAAGTTGCATATACCACCAAAGAATAATGTCTGATTTGAATTAGAGCTTAAATAATTAATCAGTTAGTCAGTGAGTCCCTCAACATTAAATGAATCTGCTACTACTTTGATAGTTTATGACTTGTTTTAGTTGCAAAACCTCTTTTTGAACTTATCTTTCATCTTTCTTTTCTCCCTCAGACATGTTGGAACAAACATTCAAGGCTCTTCACTTCAAAGTGGTGCTCCACAAGTGGCTCAGTGTGGATAACACTTTCTCAACCCTCAGAGACATATCTCAAGAGAGAGAGAACCTCAAAGGTGATGCCTTTGTCTGCTGCATCATCAGTCGTGGTACGGCAAATCATCTTCTGGGTGTAGACATGCACAGGACGGGCCTACGCCTGGACAGAGTCAGACGTCTTTTTACTTCTGATGCGTGCGCTATGATGGCGGGCAAGCCCAAACTGTTCTTCATCCAGACGTACAAGGGCCCCGAGTTCCAGCCCTACGCTGCGAGGCACCATCAGGATGAGGATCTTGAGCCAGACGGCTGTCATGGGCTGCCTGGATATGATTTCATCCCTACAGATGCAGATGTGTTCTGGAGCCACTGCTGGACGGACGAACGTCAACTGGAGCAAAGACATCATCGGTCCATTTACCTGAAGACTCTGACAGATACCTTGCTTAAAGGCCAAAACAGGTGGGGGCAAATTGTCAGCTTTTTATCAGAAATGTTCAATATAAGCTTTAAACTACACCTTTTGTGCTAACTGTTGTTTTGTTTATGGTCCGACAGGAAGAAGATTGTTGATATGCACACCGAGGTGAATGGAGCCATCTTTGATCACAACAGAAGGAATCCTGCAGCAAGCTACCACATCGATCTCAAACATACACTACGGAAAGATCTTTACTTACAATAGAGGATGTTGTACAATCCTGTTCATATAACTCCCAATAATATGACATTACATTTAATGTCATTTAGCTGATGCTTTTATTCAAAGCGACTTACATTACAATTAGTGCATTCTGCATCTATATATATGTATATGTATAATAAGCTAAGAATAGAATGACTTAAAGGGATATGAAAATTCACTCTTTATCTTCTCATCACTATGCCGATGGAAGGGTGGGTGCAGTGTTTGAGACAACAAAACACTTTTGGAGCCTCAGGGGCAAATCCAATACAATTGAAGTAACTGGTGATCAATCACCATACTGCTCCTGTGGTGTCATTCAAGTGTCCAAAAGCCCCAACTTTCATATTCGACTCAAAAAAGTGTTAGTGTTGAGGGCTTTAATGGACAGGGACACAAAGGAGTGTTTAAAAAATGGTGGTGCATGCTGAGTAGATGTCAGATAAACAACAACAAAACACAGGATTTCCAGCTTCATTTTTGTTTTACTGTGTATACAGAGACACCTACTGGTTGTATGAAGTCAAAACAACTATTTTATGAGAAAAATCATAGAAGGATTTTTTTGTGCAAGTAGGTACCTGTATTTGTTCAATATTTGAAAATTCTCACCGAGTATCCTTTCTAGAAATATCATAGCAGTAAATATATTTACTTTATAACATAAACAACAATAACAGCATAATCAACAACACAACCAATCATTAAACTGCAATAGAAACAAATGTTAAATCATGCAAGACAAAAAGAATTTACGAAAATCTTTTGCTCTTACACAACACACTGACATTTATTCACAACATCAATCATAATGTGTTTTACCCATAGACTGTATATAAAGAGTTTTACCTTTTAGTTCGATAGTGCAGCTAAAACATGAAGAGATACTTCTGAGAAATACATTCTCTATGGGAATGTGTACTAGTATTTATTTTGTGTTTTATTATTTTGATTTGAGCTATGTATTTTCAAGGTTTTGGCTTTTTTATAAAAGAGGTATATATATGTTTATAT